CCTGAGCGCGCTCCTTCGCACACCCCACGTGGCTCAGCACCAACCTGGGCGTGCTCACCTGCATCCAGTGCTCCGGCGTCCACCGCGAGCTGGGCGTGCGCTTCTCGCGAATGCAGTCCCTTACTTTGGACCTGCTGGGCCCCTCCGAGTTGTTGGTGAGGTCAGGGGCGGGGCCTGGGCGGGGCCAGAGGAAGGGGTGGGTGTGGGCCCTGAAGGCAGGTGAGGATCGGAGACCTCCGGAGTGAGCATCGTGCTAACCACTAAATCTTTTTTTTAAGAGTTCTTTTTTTGCCATAGGGCATGTGCGCTCCCCAGAGAGACAGAAAACGAGAAATCACCCCTCAGGGAGTATAGCCATCTGCAATCTCTTTCCTCCATTCTCCTCTTGGGATTTTGGGCACGCACACACACGCCCGGCGTGTTTTAAGCTACCCAGCTCAGGACTCGAACCACGACTGACTCTGTGGGAGTCCACCGACGTATCCATTATACCATGTGCTGGTGTCATAACCACTGGATCTTAACTCTCCTCCCATTGCCACTTTCTCGCAACCCCAGCTGGCCTTGAACATCGGAAACACTCGCTTCAATGAGATCATGGAGGCCCAGCTTCCCTCAGTGGGCGGTCCTAAGCCCTCAGCTGAGAGTGACATGTAAGGGTACCCTCCCATGGAGGGGCGGGGCATCCTGCCCGGGGATTCTGCCCCCTGCTCTCCCAAGGTTTCAGAGGATCATCTTTCCGGGGGAGGGGAGCCTCAGATCCAAGAGTCCAGAACTTGGTTCTGGGCGGGTGGGGGCTGTATTTGCTGGGGGATGGTGGCAGGGGTGAGCTGGGTGGGGTCCTCCTGCTCTGACACCCATGGCTGTCTTGGCAGGAGCATCCGCAGGGACTACATTGTGGCCCAGTATGTGGGACACAGGTTCGCCCCCCGCTCCCCGCCTGAGCCGCAGAGACTCCGCACAGCCATTCACAACAAGGACCTCCTGTCAGTACTGGAGGCCTTTGCCAGCGGGCAGGACTTTGGACAGCCACTGCCGGGGCCTGAGGGGCAGGTGAGAACCCCCTCCGAGGACTCTTTAACCCACCTGCACTCACATACTCCCCAGTCCTCGGGACCAGCGGTTACTCCCCTCTGCCCCACCGCTGACACCTGCTCACCTCTGCCATGGCAGGATAAATGGGGAAAGCACAGCTTCAGTCAAGGCTGAGCGAGAGTCCTGGCCCTGCCTCTTCCTAGCCGTGTGATCCCAGGCAGCAGACTGAGCTCTCTGAGCCTTCTCTCCTCACCTGTAGGCTGGGACAATAGCAGTTCCCGCTGACGTGAGGAGTCACGTACACAAAGGGCCTAGTGTATGATGGGTGCACAGTAAGTGCCGGATTGTTTGTAAGGTTTTTGCCATAGGGTGCATGCACCCACTGGAGAGAGACAGAGGGAAAGTAAGAAATCGCCCCCCAGGGGGGATGGCCACGCCACAATCCCTTCTCCTCCATTCTCCTCTCAGGATTTTGGGCACACACACACAAGTGCCAGCATGACTTTTAAGCTGCCAGGTCCAAGACTTGGACTATGGTTGGCCACGTGGGAATCCAGCACCTTAACTACTATGCTACCTGCTAACCCCAATGCTAGTCTTTTTTTTTTTTTTTTTTTTTTAAGCCTTAGAAATGGGTAAGGACAGGGAGCAGGGCAGGCCATGGCACTAGTGAGTCCAGTAATAAGCACATGAGTAAGAGAAAGACCCCGAGACATTTGAAGGAGTGCGTGGAAGGGCGTTGCTAACTGAACGTCAAGCAGGGTGTGCTCGAGCTGTCTCTGCATCTAGTGGGCCGTGTGCCACTGAGGCGAGGTGAGAATTCGCTCCACCTACCCCGAGCAGTAGCAGGAAGTGTGAGGCTGCTGCCTCTGTGGGGAAGTGGGAGCACAGACAGGGGCCCACGGCCAAGAACCAAGTGTGGGAAACTCAGCTGTTGGGGGCAGAGGAGGAGGACCTTCTGAAGGAAATAGCGAGGGAACATTCCTTCACCTTCCACCAAACATGAAGGTCCGTCCATTCCACCTCATCTCTCCCAGGTTCTGGCAGCTTCACATCAGGATGTCAGGGGGCAGTAAGAGCTCAAGAGGGTGATATTGGGTTGGGGGTGGGTGACCTGGAAGGAACTCAGGTGTGGACGTGTATCCAGGCACCTGGAGAGCTGGCCCTGCACTTGGCTGTCAAAGTCGCCAACCAGGCCTCCCTGCCCCTGGTGGATTTCATCATCCAGAATGGGTGAGAGCCTCACTGCCCACCTGTCCCCACCTTTTTTCTCTTCTGCTGCATTCTCCTCCCTCTTTTCCTCGCCCTCGTTTTTGCCCTCACTTTGCCCCCCTTCACTCGTCCGTTTGCCTCCCTTTCTCCCTGAACCCCCTCCCTGCAGGGGTCACCTGGATGCCAAAGCTGCTGACGGGAACACGGCGCTGCACTACGCCGCACTGTGCAACCAGCCCGACTGCCTCAGGCTGCTACTGAAAGGGAGAGCCTCGACCGGCACAGGTGGGGCTAGAACTCCCCCACTATTGGACTCCACCTCCTGACTGCCCCTCGGGTGGGTGTGCACACCCAGAATCCTGAGAGGAGAATGGAGAAGGGATTGTGGCATGGCCATCCCGCTGGGGTTGATTTCTCACTTTCTCTCTCTCTGTCTCTCCAGTGAATGCATGCGCTCTGTAGCAAAAATATCTCTTAAAAAAGAAAGAAAGAAAAAGAATTATTTATTTAATTCTATTTATTACTACAATATTACTACTTTTGAAAGTTTGTATGCACTCACCAGAGAGAGATGGGGGGGTGGGAGGGAGTGAGAAAGCAAGCCACCAAGTCTGGGACTGGAACCACAGTTTATCATGTGAGAGTCCAGCACCCCAACCACCATGCCACCTGCTGGCCCCTGCAAAATGGGAATATCACTGTCCTAGTAGACCTGCTAAAAAGATAAAGTAGTATTTCTTTTTTTTTTTACTGTCCACAGTATTTATTTATCAAGAGAAACTATTCTTTAGCCCATGGATTCATGTTTCAGGAACATGGCACCAATCCAGTGACATTCTTTACATTCCAAAATCACTTTGTACTCTGAAAGATACCAGCCTTCCTCATCTCTTCAAAATCTTTCATGGAATCATAATTTCTGTAGAAATCTGCATAT